TTGAATGTTTATAGTTATGTCTTTTTTCATATTTATGAAGTTTTCAGCTATTACTTTTCAAATATTCTTTCAGCTCCTTTTTCGCTCTCTTTTCCTGAGACTTCCACACTGTGTATGTTGGTCTGCTTCTCTGTTCACTTTTCTTAAGTCCTTTTCTTTCTCTGTCTCAGACTCAGTAATTTCCATTGCCCTATCTTCAAGTTTGCTGATTCTTTCTTTTGCTTGCTCAAGTCTGCCTTTGAATCCCCCTAGTGAATTTCTCATTTCAGTTATACATTTTAGCTCTAGAATTTCTTTTTTGTTTCTTTGTAAGTTTTCTGTCTCTTTACTGGTAGTTCCATTTTGTTTGTACATTGTTTTCTTTGTTTATACTCCTTGTTTTGTTTCTTTGAGCATCTTTAAGATAGTTGTCTTAAAGTCTTTGACTAATAGATCTGTCATCAGGGCTTTTTTTTTTTAGGGGAAGTTATTTATTTCCTATAAGTAGGCCATGTTTTCCTGTATCTTTGTATGCCTTGTGATTTTTTCGTTGAAAATTAGACATTTGAATCTATTAATAATAATGTGGTAACTCTGAAAATAAGATTCTTCCTCTTTCCCAAGGTTTGCTTGTTTTTGTTATTTTGTGTGTGTGTGTGTGTGTGTGTGTGTGTGTGTGTGTGTTTTGTTATTGTAGGCTGTCTTTATGCCAAGGATCATTAAACTTAAGATCTTAGCTCTTCTCTGAGCTTGCACCTATCCCTGGGCATGTGTATCACTTTTTACTTTCCCCCATGTATGCAGTTGCTTTTGAATGTTCTAGTCTTTACTATCTGACTTCCAAAAGAGCAAAAAGAAAAAAATGAAGGGGGGATTAAAAAAATGGGGGCTGGCCCTTTAAATCTTCTGGCAGTCACTTCATGCTGAGGGAGAGGGTCTTGCAAAAATGGAAGGAGACACAACAACAAAGGCCACCAGTCTCTTATACTTCTCTGAGCAGAAGCAGCAATTAGCAATCAGAGTACAGATCCCTGATATTTGGAGGTCAGTGTCCTTTTTGCCCACCCTGGTTTCACAAACTGTGCAGATTATTCCAGGATTATGTGTACAGCTGTCTGCCACAGGGCTGGGGTGGGGCCTGGGTATCTACTACTGTGCTAAGAGCTGAAATTGACTGAAATTAACCGCATTTTATTGTACAAGCCTTCAGTAGACTACAGAGTTCCAAAATAGTTGCATCAGACAGATTCAGCCAGTGCAATTATTATCTAGGTGGGGAGACAAATTTGTTATTATCTACTCCACCGTCTTCCCAGAATTTTCTGTTTTTAAAGTTTTATGGATACCCATGCTCATTTTTTAATTGTCTGTGGTTGTATTTGTAGTCCAGTGGCAAAGTAGAATGGTTACAATGGAGACTGTGTGGTCTGCAAGCCTGAATTGTTTGCTGTCTGATCCTTTAAGAAAAAAAACCGCAGATCTCTGCTTTAGATTCTTAAGGGTGGTATGAATTTTTACCATCCCACATCATTAACTACCTTGAGTAGACAGGGGCAATTTTAGAGACTGGTACTTGGGCTTCCTTATCCTATAGCAGTTCAAGGACCCAGTGCTGGACTTGATTCAGCCACCAAAAATGTCTATTCCTGTCTTATTTGTTTGTAGACTGGGGAAATGGCCATTAGGTGGGCTCATGAAACCATTGGAGTATGCTGTGGTAGACCTTGGCCGGGAATCTATTTATTACTTGGCCACCATGTGTTCTCACTCAGAGTCCGTGATGCTTTGGGTCAATCAAGTACCAATGTTAATTAGGACCCTGTATCCAACAGACTTCAATATGTTTTGAGTGTTCCCCTTCCCCTAGTGTACTAAAGTAAATGGTTATAGCTCTTTTTGAGAGAAGGAATAGGAGAATTATTACTGTGTATATTTGCCAGCTTATTTCAGGGTCCTTCCTCTTAGGAACCTGGCCTTTTCTTCTATAAATAACAGGTGATATAGTACAGCCTGTAAGACTTTGGTCCAAACTCTGGATTCTCACTACCTCTCTTGACTTTATCCTCTACTGTTCTCCCCTTTACCCCACTCTACTTTAGTCATACTGGCCTCTTGTGGTTGCTTGTTTACTAAGGCTGTTCCCTGTGCTTGGAACTCTCCTTCCCTAGATGGCTTATTACTTGACCGCATACAGGTCTTTGTTTAAAATTTTTTCCTTTTCTTTTCTTTTCTTTTTTTTTTCTTTTCTTTTTTTAGACAGGTCTTTGTTTAAAATTTTTCTTTTCTTTTCTTCTCTTTTCTTTTTTGAGACAGAGTCTCACTCTGCTACCTGGGCTAGAGTGCCACGGCATCAGCCTGACTCACAGCAACCTCAAACTCCTGGGCTCAAGCAATCCTCCTGCCTCAGCCTCCCAAGTAGCTGGAACTACAGACGCACACCACCATGCCTGGCCTATTTTTTCTGTTTTTAGTAGAGACATGGTCTCGCTCTTGCTCAGGCTGGTCTTGAACTCCTGATCAAGCGATTCTCCCGCCTCGGCCTCCCAGAGTGCTAGGATTAAAGGTGTGAGCCACTGTGCCTGGCCTAAAATTTATTTTCTTAGAAAGTCCTTGCCTGATCACTTCTATCAGAAATAATCCCACTCTTGTCATTTTTCTGCTCATTTGTCCCTCTCCTCCGCTAGATACAGAGGAGCACAGATTTTTCCCTTCTTGTTTACTATTTCCTGGGTATTTAGAATAGTTTCTAGCATGTGGTTGGCTCTCAACTAATATTTGTAGAATGAGGGAATACTTGATGAGAGAATTGAAAATATTTCATATGAAGAAGTGCTTCGTTATTTTTCACTGTCAGTAATATTTACCTGCTGATTTATAAGTTTTTGGATGTATATCATTTAGTAAAACTACATTGAAATTGATGAATAGCGTAACATGTTGAATTAAGAACTGTGACTATTCGATAACAAATGAAATTAGTAACACATAAGAACTAAGATTATTAAGTATTTACACAAATGCGTATATGAAAACCAAAATGATAGAAGGAACATGATTACTATATAAAGTTATGATTGCTATATGAAGTTATTTAATGGAAGTACTGTGGACTTTTGGAAGGGCTGACTATTTCCTAAAGTAATTTAGCGTCTTTTAAAGAAAAAGCTCTTGATTTTACCAGTAGTTAAGACTTGGGCCTTTGGAATCAGATAAGTCTATGAGATCTTGGATTAAATAATTTCTTTTTATCATATAACTTCACAGGGATAAAGTGAATCAATATTAATAGAACCTACTCCATAGACTTACTATGATACTTATAGTACATACTGCATGTGATAAAGTATGTAAAGCACTAGGCACATGCCTGCCACCTAGTAAACACTTAAACAAATTTAACTAACATCACCATCTCATCATTCTTTAGGGGTATTTCATGTGATGGTCAGGTTTTCTAAAATTTTTCAGTAGCTTAGTTTGTAAAGTTCTAAGTAGCTCTAAACATAAATTCCTTTGTTTGTGTTCCGTTAATATTTCTCAGTTTATATATATAAATTAAGAATTATTAGATATGCATCAACTCTTTTGTGTCAACAAAAGTGAGATTTTCAAATGATCTATATTGCTAAATGAGTTCATTGTATGTATTTCAGGGTGACCAAATTTTTGCTTTGCAAGGATATCTAATTCATACTTAGGACTTAATTCTCAAACATGTCAGCATTTTGTAAAAGTTTAAGAAAATAACAATTCAATCTGGAATCACCAGCAAATACTACCAGTTTAAGTTATATGCTGAATGGGAGATAATATATGGTATTCCTTTTTCATGAAAGAGGGTAGTATGGAAAGTATGTAAATTAGTGCGTAAATAAGTCAAAAAATGTGTTATCTGCTGATGGCGAACATTTGAATGTTTATTTTCTTGATTGGGCCTTCTACTCCAGTATTCTTTCTTTTAAAAAAATAATGTTTTTTTGGAGAAAATTTTGAAAATTTTATATTCTGCTTTTTTCATCAGATATTATGTTAGCATTTTTTCTGATTTCTAAATTTTTACATTATTTTAATAGGAACATAGCTTTTCATCCTGTAAGTTTACCATAATTTGTCAATTGCATTTTTGTTGAATATTTATGTAAGCAATTTTTCAGTATTGCACATAGTGCTCAGTGAACTTTCTGCAAAAATTTTTGTGTTCGTATATGCTTTTCCCTTAGAATATTAAAAGTAGATCAACACTTATGTGCACATATGGAAGTAAAATTCAAGGGAAATCAAGTAGTTGGGAAGGGGGAGGAGAGTTTGGGTAAATTCACACCTAACAATGCACACTAACTGACTGGAGGGCACACTTACAACTTTGACTCAAACTGTACAAAAGCAAATTATATAGCCAGAATGTATGTAGCCCCATAAAATTCTGAAATTAAAAAAAAGAATTTTAAAACTAGAATTACTGTTAAGGGATATGAGCATTTATAACACCATTGATGTTACCAATTGTCCTCCAAAAAGATTATACCTGTTGACATTTCTGACAATAATAAGAGTACAAATTTCAGCTTAC